GGCGGGAACCGGCGGAAGTGCCGCGTTTTGTTATCAGTCGATATGAGAGGTGCTACGAGCATTACGTCTATGGGCTGCGATGAGCTGCGGGCTAGAGCGATGATGACAACGAGCCCTCCTTGAAATCAGTCACAAACAACAAAAGTGACTGTTCTTGTCACAACAATCACGCGGATTACGTCCGTCAAGGAGGAGAAGTGAGGTACGTCAACGTCCTCCTCGCGGCCACCGGCCCACCGGGGCCCCGTCTGGCTGCTGAGGAGCGCCGGGGCGTGGTGGGCGTGGCGTGGCATGGCGTGGTGGGAGTGGCGAGGCGTAGCGCACAGCGCGCAACAGGCGCAGAGGAGCCGGGCCGGGCGCCGCGCCACCCGCATCAATGAAAACAAGAAAGTCAGGCCGGTGGAATCTAGTCATGAAGACACCAATACGGGGAGCGTGGTCTGGTTGGGACCATGTGAGTGTCGGACTTCACTTGGCATGCTTGTCCATATGGCAGCATTTCTTCCACGCCGACCACTCGGTAGGAGCAACAACTACAGCAACAACACAGGCGATCATCAACACCCGGGACTCTGCCTCCCTCGGCTCGCGGCCTGAAGTGCCGAAGTGTCCCACCACTAACTTTAGCCGTTCCGACACCGCGGCCGGCCGCCAACCACCAACCACCAGCTGCCAGCCGGGCTCAGGGGCCGGGCCGGCCAGAATAACAAATAACCACACGTGTGTCATACCGCGGAACTCGGGCCCGTCTTGGAGCTGGGGCCCCGCCACCTTCTTGACGACCAGCTCCTCCTCCGCCATGCTGGGCTCTGCCATGCTATGTGCTGGGCCCTCTGGGCTGGGCGGGCGCGGCTACCACATCGGCCACCTCGGCGGACGCGTCGGCCGCGCGGACTGTCGGGAGCGCCGCGATGACGCCAGGCCGCACCACGCCGCGACACGCTTCGCGGGGCGCTGAGAATTGGACGGCGGCGGATCGGATCGGAGCGCGGCGCGGCGTTCGGCCAGCGGCTCGCCGACCAACACACTGGTGCGGTGCGGCCCCGGCCCGACAGCGGCGGCGGCGTAGCAGGCGTAGCAGCCCGGCCAGTCCCTCCCGCCGCGCCGCTCCGCTCCGCGCGCCCGCCGGCCGCGGGTCGCCGTGCCGCTCGCGGCCCGCGAGTCGAGCCCGTGGAGCCCCTCTCTGCCCCCGCCCCCCGCGGGCCCCAGCCGGGCGGCGCGGCGCTGCCGGCGCGTTGTGTTGTCCCTGCCTCTGTCTGTGGGCTCAGGGCGCGCCCGGCCCCGGCGAGGCTGCACCGCCAAGCCCCTGTGCCCCCCCCCCCCAACCTCCAGCCTGCTTGGACGCCACAAGAACCGGCGGCATGGAACGGGCTGGGGAAGCGGGGAAGGAGTCATGGACCACCTCCGACCGCCCCCTCCCTCTCCCCTTTCTCTGCATGTAATGGTCCCCTCCGTCCTTGATCTTCTTCTCGCTGGTCATCGCCTTCTGCCTTCCTCCCTTCCCCCTCAGAACTTGACGTGGGCGATGGGAGGGCCGGGTGGGAGAATGCCTTCCTGGACAGCTCCCCCCTCCCCCTCCCCGCCGCATCGTTGCATTCCCCATTCAGAGACTCAAATGCTGGACGTTTCGTCCGGTTTCGTCTTTGTCATTGCGACTCACCGCTCCAACAAAAAGCGCAAGCGTTGGGTCGGCCCCGGACCTGCTCATGTGTAGTGGAGACGCGGTGGTTTTGAGAATTTATTTCATACATGAGGTGAGGTATCAGTGCGGTTGCGGCGGGGAACGGCGTGGTGGCGCCAAATAACCGGTGCAATCCAAACGGTATGATGTGCGGCCTAGGTCGATATCTCGATCTCAAAGACATGCGACGGATAAAGCCACTCAGCGAGCTCACATCAGCGACCGGCTGCCCTGTGGGCCCCACACTGTGGGCCGCTAGCGCAGCGCTTCAGGTGCGGCTGTGTTCCGCCCGTGAGCTTTGTCTGGGCCTTCAACTTCAACATCGACGTGCGCTTAACAGAATCTCCCGTAACAGGGGTAGGGACAGTCTGTACCGGTCCGTCGTCCCCTGCGCCCCGTTTGCCCGCGTTTTAGACACGACCTGCGCCGTCCTACCTCAAAGAGGGCCAACTTGGATGCTGCTCTTTCTAAGCACGAGTGGTTTCGCGGTGGTCCTGTACGAAATGTCTTTTGTTGCTGATGCTGACTTGCTGTCGTGCTGATCGTCCATGCTCAGCAGCCCGCGCTCCCGCTCCCCCCCTCGGACTTCTCGGACCAGGCGGGGAAGTCCACGCCTCGGACTTCTCGGACGACGGCCGGCGCCAGTCTGATATGAGCCGCCAAATGCCTTATTTGCCACCAGACGCTTAGCCCTTAGCTCAGCCAATAGACGGTTCCCGCTCTGCACGTTTCGAGAAGAAGTGAGGAAATCAGGACCGGAACCAGTATGAAAAGTCCGCCTACTTTTCTTATTTAACTGTGCAGTTTCACTTAGATGACCTCGAGGGAGTCCATGTAACTATGAAGGTTCATTTGCACTAGTTTTTGCCGTGATTTGAGAACTGTTTCCGGTGACGATTTCCTTAATTCTTCTTGAAATGGGCACAGCGGGAACCGTCTATCAGGAGAGCGCAAAGCGAGAGCGCGAGCGCAACGAGAGCGCAGCGGGACCCTTCGAGCTCGCATTCGGGTACCTTCGGGCCGGAGGTCCGCCCCAGAGAGAACAGAAGTACCTTACCTTGTCTCTGGTCCGCCCAGAGCGCAGCGCGCGGCGCCGGACAGCGGTAGTGACCCTCCCTGACAGCGATGGCGAAGATCTCCGGCCGAAGGTACCCGAATGCGAGCCCGAAGGGTCCTGCACGCCCTCTGCTGCGCTCTCGCTGCTCTTGCTCCTTGCGCTCTCGCTCTGCCAATTATTTTGCTGATCATGCCTCATTACAGTCATTTGCGGGCGCTTTGTTTCGGTCCCCGTGCTCGCCCTTGCCTTTTCCAAGCACCCCCCCCCCTCCCCCTTCCCCACG